GCCCGCAATAAATTTCCTGTAAGCTCTACTGCCTCTTTCAACGTTGAACTCTCTCGTGAATTCTGCCATCAACTGAATTCAATCCTGCCATTAACAATAATAATCAATCATTAGAAAAACATAAAAATAATAACTCAATGAAATGTTTGTAAAAAGAAACAAAATCTCAAATTAATCTCAGCCTTTAAATCCATTGCCACCCAAGATACATGTTCCATCTAGATTCAAAAGCAGAGGTGTCTTGTTATATAGATTTACCATAGGAAAATATTAACCATGAACAACAACAAATAAAGTCAATCCCCAAAGATATCTTATATTTACCATAGGTCTTAATGGCACTTCCAAACACAATCAGACTACAATCAAAATTGAGTGAATTCTTGTAACAAAACTAATTATCTTATATTTATTTATTTATTCTATAAATTGGTTTTGCTTGCTCTTTTATCACTAGTATTCAAACTATCTATCATTCAATTTAAGAAAAGCAAAATCTACTAATAATCTACAGTAGAGATAAAGTTTTATAATGGGTTGAAAAAATAAAATAGAAATTGTTGATAAGTCATGCACTCAGATACTTTGATTAAGGTAAGAAAGTGATGTCCTGAACTTTGATTATGTTCACAAATTAAACTTGCAACTCAGTTATTGTTCCATCACTCTTCTTGGACAATGATGGATAAACAAAAAATCAAAATTAAGTCTAACAATGATATTCATAACAAAGGAAAACGCAAGAATGGTGATTCTTAAATCTTCTAAATTCATTTAGTTTGGTTTCTAATGGGCAATAAATTATAAATACCACCTCATCACACAGGTTATCTACTCAATGCTCTATCTAAGAAGATGGCGGTATGTATTGTAATGGTTTGAAGGCCACCATGGCTTAGAGTGAGACGCTCCTCCTCTCTAGAAACTTTTCGTTTCTAGGTTCTGCATTCAATTCTTCATTGAATTGCGAGGTTTCATGTCATGGCTAACTCAATATTAAGGGTTGGTTTGGGATGTTTTTAAAAAGTGTACTTTTTGACTTATTGACTTATATGAATTGAATTTGATATGATGTATTAGAGAAATAATATGATTTAAATAAAATAATAATTTTTAACTTTTTATATTATTTAAGTTATGTCAAACTTTACCTAAATTCTTCGGCTACCGGCGAAACGGGTTCTGATGTAACTTTTGGGTCGCTTCAAATAAATGAAGAGAGAGAGATGTTGAATCTAATGAGTTATTTGGTGTTCATAGCCCACGACGTTTAAGTCTTTCTGAGCAAGAACTAGAAACACTAGTTAGTATTGCACAGGGGAGTGAGATCAAAATGAAGAGGGTGACGACAGAGTCTATTCCAGAACTCGCTGATCGTCTTGAGTTTCTTAAGGCGAGGGCATCGACGGATTCCACTCATATCCAGTGACCCTTTGCTGATCTCCGTTTGGGAGTCTCTCCGACGCCGATGGTTCATAAACCTCGATGGTCAGATGTGGTGGAAGAGGGTCCGCGATCTAAGCTGTTAGATCTTCCTGACAGTTTGATGGTGACCAAAACCAGAGGCATTAGTCATCCACATGCAGCGATTGAGGGTCAAACGGAGAAGCCGACTATGTCATCCTCTGGTAACGATGGATTAGGGCCTTTTGATGTGGGTGATCGGGCTATTGTTGAGAGTGGTTATCGATCAAATGATGACCGAAACCCTAACATCGCAGATGTTGATCTTACACATATTCTAGCAGCAGGGGCTGATGGTAATACCCAGCGTGGAGGCTGCCAAGCTCGTGGAAGGGGGGCTACTGCTAGAGGTACCCGAGGGGGTAGAGGCATGTATAGACAGGAACCTCGATCTTGGGCAAATGTTGCTTCTGCATCTGTTCGATCTGAGGTAAAACTTCAATACTTCCCTCCTAAAGTGGATAATGATAAGATCGTAGTTAAAATGCCACCTGTTTCCCCTTTAGCTAAATGGGAGGCGTGTTTGGTAGGGTACTTTATTGATAAGAGGTTGCCTTACACACTGATAAAAAATAGTGCTTTTAATATGTGGCATAATAAGGGGCTTCTGGAAGTTAACATGAATGACGAGGGATTTACCTTGTTCATTTTTGAGAACAAGGATTGTTGCAAGGACATTCTGGATGGAGGGCCATGTTATGTTGGAGGTTTTCTATTAATCCTCAAGCAATGGCATCGTATGATGAAACTCTCAAAGGAAGACAAGAAGACCATTCCTGTGTGGGTGAAATTTTACAATATCCCTATGGAATTCTGGAATGGGGATGGGCTGAGTAGGATAGCAAGTGCTGTTGGTGTCCCTTTGTTTATGGACCAATGTTTATGGACCAACTCACTTCCTCTGGTAACATAATCTCCTTTGCCAGAGTTTGTGTAGACATACAAGCTGATTCTACATTTCCAGAATACTTCTTCATCTCAAGTGAGGGTGAATCTATGGAAATTCAAGTTGAATATCAAGGTGTCCCCACAAGATGTACACACTTTAATGTCTTTGGCCATGAAACTAAACTGTGTGTCTCTGCTCAAGTATCTAAACTATTGAGCTACAACATAACACCGAGAACAATGAGCACTTGTGTGGAGAGGAAGCTGGCTGGAGCAAAGTGAAGGATAAGGGCAAGAGGAAAGTAGGTGAACTGCCCCCTACACCAAACCCTATGAGTCCTACAGAAATCTCTAGTTCATCAATTGAATTGGGGGTTGGTCGGGGAACTCAAGAGGGAGCCAATATGAGCAAGGAGGTTCCTGACACAAATAATTCCATAGCTATAGAGGAGGATGCAGTTATAATCAAGGCTTCAGAACAGGTGGCAGCTTTCCATTGAGAGGTGATGGACATTGTCAAACTGATCAATCCAGGAGCTGAAGACCTTATCCAGGAAGTAGGGGGAATGAAAGAGGGGGGGAAAACCCCTCCAGATATAACAAGGCAAAAGATGGATAGAGCAAATATCACTGGGAGTTCTACAAAGAATAAGTCTTCTGGCAAATCTGGGGGAGCTAGAAGAAGAAGAAAATGTAAGTGGTGTCTTTCTTTTTTGGGATCTGATTTGGAATTTTTTGCTTATTCTCTCATGAATTTTAAAATTGCATCTTGCAATGTTAGAGGGTTAAATGACTCCTCAAAACATAAAGAGGTTCGTGATCTTGTTATGAAAGAGGATATTAAAATCATGAGTCTTTTGGAGACAAAGGTTAAAAGTGAAAATGAAGCTAAAATTTTTGAAAAAAGCTTTAAAAATTGGAAACTTTTGTCAAATTCACAACCAGATTCAACTGCTAGAATATGGATATGTTGGGATCCTAATTTTTGTGATATTCAAAGAGTAAAACATTCTAGTCAGTTTATTTTTTGTCGGGTTAACATTTTTGAAGGGGATAATAGCTTCTATGCTGTTTTTGTTAATGCTGAAAATGAACATGTGAAGAGATTATCTCTGTTTGATGATCTCTACTCTTTATCAAAAATTTATTCTGGAAGCCCACTGATTTGCCTTGGTGATTTTAATGTTGTCAGATTCCCTCATGAAAAAATGGGAGGGAATGGTTGCTGGAACAGTGCTAAAAAGATTTTTAATGCCATAATCCTTGAGTCTGACTTGGAGGATTTGTCTTACCATGGGTGCCAGTTTACTTGGTCGAATAAAAGAAGTGAGGGTTCATACATTACATCTAAGATTGATGGCTTGATGGCTATCCTAGTTCTTCTGTAATTTTCTTGCCATCTGGTATTTCTGACCACTCATCTGCTGTTGTTAACATTGACCCTAAAGGGCCTAATCTTAGGAAACCATTTAAATTTTTTGACTTCTGGGCTGATCAAAATGACTTTCTTCCTAAGGTTGGGGGAGGTTTGGAGGAAATATGTCGAGGGTTCTCCCATGTTTAGAGTGTGTCAAAAGCTTAAAACTCTTAAACCTATCTTGAAAAACCTTAATAAGAAAGATTTTATTGAGATATCCACTAGGGTTGTACATGCTCTTGACCACCTTGTAAGTACTCAAATCAAGCTTGATAGAGACCCTATGAGTGCTATCCTTCAAAATGAGGAAAGGGTTGCCTATGCTAAGTATGTGGATCTCTGTAGTGTGGAGGAAAAACTTGCTCTTCAAAAATCTAGAATCCAGTGGTTGGGTCTAGGTGACAGAAACTCCAGGTTCTTTAGAACCATTAAAGGAAATGTTAACAAGGGTAGAATCAGTAGTGTCATGATGCCCAATGGTGATAGGGTGACCAAGATTGCTGATATATTTGCCACCTTTGTGGACTCTTTTACTAACCTCTTTGGTGATAGGGTGACCAGGAGTGCTGGCTATGAGAGAATTAGTAATCTTGTTTCTAAGAGGGTCTCTGTTGACCAATTCAATGATCCTGCTAGGAAGGTCACTGATAAGGAAATCACTGATGCTTTTAGCTCCTTGAAAGCTAATAAAGCTCCGGACCCTGATGGCTATTCTATTGGTTTTTTTAAAAAAATCATGGGAGGTGGTGGGGAAAGAGGTTGTGGCAGCTATTAGGTCCTTCTTTAAATCTGGTGAGCTTCTCCAAGAGCTCAATAGTACAAACATAGCTCTCATTCCCAAAAACCCTAAAGCTGAAAAAGTGGGTGATTTTAGACCCATCTCATGTTGTAATACCTTGTATAAATGCATCTCAAAGATTATAGCTGATAGAATCAGAGGGTTTTACCAGACCTTACTGTTCCGGTGCAGTCAGCTTTTGTTCAAGGTAGAAGGATCTCTGATAACATCTTCTTGTCTCAAGAGCTTATGACTGGCTATCACAAAAAGTCTCCAACACCTAGGTGTACTATGAAAGCGGACATAATGAAAGCCTATGATAATGTTCGCTGGGATTTTGTTTTGGATGTCCTTAGAGCCATGGGGTTCCCTCCTAATATCATTGGTTGGATTAAGGCTTGTATAACTAGTCCTTCTTTCTCCATCTGTATCAATGGGAGTCTTCATGGGTACTTTAAAGGGGCTAGAGGTCTGAGACAAGGTAATCCTATGTCCCCTTACCTCTTTGTTCTTGTTATGGAAATTCTTGCTAAGATTTTTCTAGCCCATAAAGGATGGGCTAGATGAGTTTCAAAGCTTGTCTGGTTTGTCTCCTAGCCCCAACAAAAGTCATATTTTCTTCTCTGGGTGTGAGAAAAAATTGAGAGATGAGATTCAGAATATTACCCAATTTAATGAGGACTTTTTACCGGTGAGATACTTCGGGGTGCCTTTAATCTCAACCAAATTGAAATCTAGTGACTGTGATACACTTGTTGAGAGAATTACTAAGAGGATCAAAAGCTGGACCAACAAATGTCTCTCATATGCAGGTAGAGCTCAATTGATTCAATCTATCCTCTTCTTTATGCATGTGTACTGGTCTTCTTTGTTCATCATACCTAAGAAAGTTATAAAAGCCATTGAGAGTCTGTTCAGATCTTTCTTTTGGACTGGGTGTGATCTTAGGAAACATGGAGCTAAGGTTTCTTGGGACCAAGTCTGCTCTCCTAGGTCTGAGGGTGGTTTGGGGTTTAAATCCCTTGAGATTTTGAATAAGGCTACTATTACAAAGCATGTCTGGTTTCTCTTCTCTGGGGGTGATCAGTCTATGTGGTGCCAATGGGTTAAGTCGTACTTACTCAAGGGCAAGAGCTTTTGGAGGGTTAAATTGCCTAGTGATCCCTCTTGGGTTTGGAGAAAAATTTTATCCCTTATACCTACCATTTACCCATTGATTAAACACAAAATTGGTAATGGCTCAAATATCTTCCTGTGGTTTGATAATTGGCATCCCCTTGGGTCTTTGTGGGCTAAATTTCGTGATAGAATTGTTTATGACACTGCCCTTGGTAGGAGACTAAGGTCAGTAGTATCATCAACAATAAGGCCTAGAAGTGGCCTTGTATTACTTCTTGGGAAGTACAGGAGTTGATTGAGAATACCCCTTCTACTTTGACTCCTAATCTGGGTGATGATTCCGTTAGTTGGGGGCTCTCCCCTGATGGTAAATTCTCTATCAATTCTACTTGGAATTACCAGCGAAAATCTTTTGATAAAGTGAATTGGGCTAAAATTTTGTGGGGACCCCATAACATTCCCAAAGCTAGCTTGGTAACTTGGATGGCTATCCTTGGCAGATTAAACACTGGGGATAGGCTCAAAATGTTTGGTATTACCCAGTCTTCTGAATGTGTTCTCTGTAATGCTCCTAATAAGGACCACAACCACCTATTCTTTGATTGTCCTTTCTCTTTTAGAGTTTGGGAGTGTATTAAAGGTAAGCTCAATGTGAATTGGCCTAACCTTTCCTGGCCTGATATTGTTAATTTGGTTTCTAAATCTGTTGGGGGTACATCCTTAAGTGCCATTATAACTAGACTCGCTTTTACTTGCACTGTGTACCAATTGTGGATTGTTAGGAACAACAGGGTTTTTAGAAATGATCTTCTCCCTATAGAAGTTGTGACTAAATGCATTGTAGATATGGTTAGATTTCGAATGATGTCTATTACTAATCTCAAATTGCATCCTAGTGACAGCTGGTTCTTGAGCTCATGGAGGTTACCCAATACTATTCTGAAACAGCCAGTACTTGGAATGAGAGATGGGAGTTCAGTAAATTGTGGGTTGAGTGATAGCAGCATACATTGAGTGGTTTCCTCAAATTTGCTCATTTTGTAGGTACATGGATAAGCTGAATTTGAAGATTGTGAGTGAGAATTACCTATATCAGTGGGCCGAGAGTATTGGAAGGAAAACACACATCCATTCCCCAAATCCACTAGCCACATTGAGTGTCTTTGATTTATACTTGTATACATTGTCGTCTTTGCTGTGCAGGTACCTAGAGCAGAAGACTCTTGAGGGATGTGAGATTCTAAATTGTGGGTGGAGTGTTGTGAGCCCACAAAATGAGTGCTGTTGGTATAATTTGAATGTTACTATGTTCATCCTTCCCATAAATAAGAGATATTTATTATATCAACTATTTTTGACAGGAAATACTAAATGGAGGATGCATTGGGAGTTTTGTGAAAGATTTTACGACTGCTGGAAGCACTTTAGGAGTGAAGGAATCTGTTTATATTTGTTGTGCCTGTACTTGGGTTTTGTTAATGCATGTCTCTACTTGTTGGCAACACCTGCTGTCAATTCTTTCCTCCCAACTTGGCATGTTGTTTCTTGGAAGCACCCAAATGGTTTGCATGGCTGCTGGAAGCGCCTGAGGAGTGTAGAAAATTGTTGTTTCATTACTTTGTATATATTTTTAGTTTTATGTGTATTCTTTGAATATTTTTTGAACCTATCCTTGCGGGGGTGTGCAAGGGTCGCTAGTTATTTTGGTTTTTTTAATTCTTCTAGGTTACTATCACGGTGGACTGATTCTAGTATTTTCTTTACTAGTTTAAGCCTAGTGAATCAAACCATCAATTCACATTAAAATGCATAAAATAAAATAAAAAATTGTCCATGCCTACAACACTACAGATATTTTATCTCATGGTAGACAAACACAAATAGCTTGCAACAAATCCAAATCCTCCAAGCACATAATGACAAATCCAATTAACAACAATGCATAACAAATTCAGTTAAGAACAATACATGACACCAAAACAAAGCAAAACAAAAAAAACTCTATGATGCAACAATAGCAAGGACGTAATGCATTCCAATGCAACTACTATGAAATTCGAACAAAATGTCCAACTTCACTTTCTCTACCGCCACCAATTCTGATAAAAATTTTACTTTATTTACTTTTTCACTCACTTTCTCGGCAACCAAACAAGACAGACAAAACCTAATAAAATTAATTAATTTAATTTTGATAAAAATGCAATCATAACAAAATTAATTTAATTTTGAAAAAAATTAATTTATCTTTTCACTTTCTAGGCTAATAAAAAATAAAACAACTTGCTGATAAAAAATAAAATTTCCTGGGTTTCTTACCAAATATGATAGAAATATTTTCAAACCCTTAGAAACACAAACAAAAATACATATAAAATCAACTCTCAAAAAGTTTTTTCTTTTTTCCCTTAAACCATAATACAATCATGTTCACAAAAAAGGACTATTAACAAATTGGGAAGATTGGCTTGGCGGATGAAAAAAAACAAACCTAATATTTCAGAAGTTATGAAATTATCATCTATTTTTTTCAATAATCAAACAGTCAGAAAAGCCAAAAAAAAAAAAAAAAAAAGTATTGACCAAAAAAAGTCCAAAAATCAGCATATTTGAGAGCTCTAAACAGCAAGTTCTAGACGGTAGAGGATAAAACACATTATCAAGAACTTATTAAACACAAACTTAAATCCCATTATATCTCATATACTTCAATCTCATCGCAGTTAGATTGTAAATCTATATAAATATAACAAATGGCTAATGTAGAACTTGAAACACTTTTAAGGAGGACATATCCTTAATTGTTTGGACAAAAAAAATAGCCCATTATTGACCAAAGTGGATTGTAAGTTAATTTTTAGGTTGCCAAAGGGCGATTTCAACGAATATGATGTCGCTTGGCAAATAGATATTAAATTGTCGCTAGGCTCAAAAATTTTAGGTTGCCAAGGGTATTTGCAGAATTTAATGCAATGGTTAGAATGCAACCTTAATCACAGATGCAATAATGGATGCAGTCATGCAGGTCAAAGAATCAAAATGAGCATTTGTTTCATCATAACCAAATCAATGCAATGCATCCTAGAAGATACCTATAATCACTGGGTTGTAAGTTCAATAATAAGATTTTTGTAATAATAAGAGTAATAAGAGTGCAATATTCCCAAATTCCATGCATTTACCAAATGTGATGTTTGAATTGAACTTTTATTGCTAAGAGATACAGCTTCATCTTCCCTTATTCTTCTCCTAATTGTAAAAATGTAAAAGATTTTTAAAAAAAAAATTATATACATTTATCCTCAATTACCTAACAATTCATAGGGCATTATCTGGCACAGCCTAATAGTTAACATTGTCTAAATTGAAATAATAGAAATTAAGGTGAAATTTGGATCAAACTACAATCTAAAAAGTGAAATTTATCATTTTAAATACTTAGCAAGAAAAAATTCATTTACAAAATACAACAATTTAATTGTTAAAAAAAAATTAATAATCCCGTATTAATCAAATACCGAGTTTTGTCCCACTGGATGAACCTTAAAAACCCTAGTATCATTAGTCACAACGCCCACCACTACAACTAATCCAATGTAAAATTCGGGCAAATCAAAATCAAAATCAAAATCCTCCTAAACAAATCAAATCAAAATCAAAGTAACAAAAATCTCAAGACAAATCTATATATACATATATATATATATATATATAGAGAGAGAGAGAGAGAGAATCAAAAGAAGCGAGTCCGGCAGGAAGAGGAAGAGAGATTGGGTCATCGTGAGTGACTCGATCATCGGCGACAGACTCGATCGTCGTCGGGGTCGGGGAGCTCAGCAAAGAGTGGGAGTCTGAAAATGAATTTGAAATTTGAAATCAATGAGAAAGATAGAGAAAAGGGCGAGTTAGCAACGTCTTTCCACAACAGGAAATGTAATTTTTTATTTTTTTTTTCTTTCTAAATTTGTGTCTATATTCATGATCTAAACATAATATAAGTGGGTCATCTCTTACTGTTAGGATTAGTGGGTCTATTTCAAATAATTCAAAATATTTATTTTGAAATGTGTATGAGAAAGTATCTATTAGGAATTGATTTTTTAATTTTTATAAAAAGGTGTGTGAAAAAAATAGAGAAAATAATATGATAACGTATAATAACTTTTTAAATAAAAATAAAAGTTCTCAAACAAGTCTATAATCACATAATCAAATTATATTTGTTTTAAAAAATAAAATAATTTATTCAATAATTAAAGTTGTAAGAAGATAGAAGAAAATTTGAAATTAATCTCAATCTTTAAATCCATGGCCACCCAGGATAAGATAGCCCTTTATTGGCCAAACAGCAATCCTCTATTTTTTTCAATACAAAAAATAATGTATTGAAAGTCTCACAATCTCACAATTTCATCAAGTCAAACTCAACCAAGTAAAACTCAATCTCACAATTTCAGAAGCTATGAGAAATTATCATCTATTTTTTTTCAATAATAAAACAGCCAGAAAACCAAAAAAAAAAGTATTGACAAAAAAAGTCCAAAAACCAGCATATTTGAGAGCTCTAAACAGAAAGTTCTACGGGGCAAAAGATAAAACACATTATCAGGAACTTATTAAACATATAAACTTAAATCCCATTATATCTCATAAACTTCAATCTCATTGCATTTAGATTATAAATCGATATAAATATAACAAACGACTGGTGTAGAACTAGAAACACTTTTAAGGAGGACATATCCTTAATTGTTTGGACAAAAAAAAATAGCCCATTATTGACCATTACTAACCAAAGTGGATTGTAAGTTAATTTTTAGGTTGCCAATGGCGTTTTGAGCCAATATGTTGTCGCTTGGCTAAAAAATTTTAGGTTGCCAAGGCTATTTGCAAAATTTAATGCAATGGTTGGAATGCTGAAATAAATAACTAATAAATTTCAAATTTTGTATTTCCTAATCAATTTATCATGAATGTAGGCTTCCCACATCATTCACATAATTGGTGTTGAAACAATCTTCTGTGTACAATAAATAAATTGAAACAAAATCAAACAAATAAAATAAATAACGTACTGAATTTATTTTATCTAACCAAATGAATATTTAAAAGATCAAGTCGAGTGTGTGACAATCTGTCCTTAACAGATTCGACCCGTTTCGGTGCTTACGGACAAATGGCGTCTATCTTCCAGGATACAATGATCTTCACAAATTGTGGTAGCATTCCAAACAATTTGTACGGCGAACAAAAACCTTGTGTTCTATACTCTCTTTATTTTTCCTAAAAAATAATATAACGAATAATTTATGCAAAGGAACAAAATAGGACAGCAAGAAAAATGAATTTTTCAGACTATTTTTGGATCAAATGACTGCTGGAAAATGACCTATATTTATAGCCAAACCAATCTGCTGAACAGGTGCTAAAATTGAATTAACAGATGCAAATTTTAAACTGAACAGATACAACACTGTTTCAGACAGATAACTGCTGGTAACTGTTGCAGTTACATATCTGTTCAGAAACTGCCCAGCAACCGAATCTATTTTGGTCTTTTTGAACCTGTTGGACTTGAACCGAAGGAGGAAAGAAATTAGGACAGAAATTAAATTCAAATTTGAATTAAATTAAATTTTTTCCTAATAGTTAACATTGTCTAAATTGAAATAATAGAAATTTAGGTGAAATTTGGATCAAACTACAATGTAAAAAGTGTAATTTATCATTTTAAATACTTAGCAAGCAAAAATTCATTTACAAAATACAACAATTTAATTGTTAAAAAAAATTAATAATCCCGTATTAATCAAATATCGTGTTCTGTCCCACTGGAGTCCAATGTAAAATTCGGGATCTCAGACAGATATATATATATATATAGAGAGAGAGAGAGAGAGAGAGAACTGACCTATCGAGAAGACAGATCTGTCCACATAAGACTGTAACGTCCTCAAAATAATAACATTAAACCCATCAAATAAGACATGCATTGAGAAGGTCTGTCCACAGAAGACAGAGAGTCGTCATCATGAGCGGTCGTCGTCGTCGTCGTCGTCGTGAGAAGCGAGGAAAAACAGTCAGCCGATCGTCGTGAGAACTCGAAGGAAGGAGCGAATAGAGATAGAGAGAGAGACAGAGAGAGAGAGAGTGTGTCTGCTAATGTCTCAAAACGAAAATTAATTTCAAATTTGAAAGAGAGAAAATTGCGAGTTAACGTCTTTCCACAACGGGCAAAAGTAATTTTTTATTTTGTTTTTTCTTTCTAATTTTTTGTCTAAATTTATAACCTAAACGATATAAGTGGGTCATCTCTTGTTAGGATTAGTAGGCTTGTTTTGAATAATTCGAATTATACATTTTAAAATGTGTATGAGAAAGTGTTTATTAGAAATTAATTTTTTAATTTTTATAAAAAGATGTGAGAAAAAAATAAAAATAATAATAAAATAACTAATATTAATTTTTTAATTAAAAATAAAAGTACTCAAACAAAACTATAATCAAATAATCAAATTATATTTGTTTTAAAAAATAACTAAACTAAACAAAGCAATGACTTTTTTTAGCAGCTTCCTTGTTGACTTTATTTCATCTTTAATTAACTTTTATTTTTAAATTTTAAAAAAGTTTTGACTTTTTCAAATCCAGAATCGTGAGGTTCAATCCAGAACTGATTCGTAGCATACGGGTTTTTAAATTTCTAATTCGGAATCGAACTACAGATTCAAAAAACCAATCTAATATTAATAAATTGAACTAGACTGAATTAGGGTACAAATTATACGAATTCCTTGCTCAACCCTACAATCACTCTCTAATAATTCTAAAATT